GGGGGGGAATTAACATCTGGAAATATTATCTGCTCACCGTAACATGATACCACAAAGTCAATGTATTGTAGACACTCAAATTGTATATTGGTTAGTATTGTGATATGTGACCAACGTAATACGTGTTACACTGCACCGATATCTTTGTTTTTGAATCTTCGTCTTGTAGAACAACAATGAAGATTTCCCCATGTGAAATTTATATAGGTATGATTCTCATTTAATATACCGTAAATGTCTATTATACTACAACTCCCTAAAAATGTCAGATATCACAGTACGCAAGTTGACATGCTGTAATCTACTTGCTAGGATTAGATTTCACTGTATTGATTCCCGATCCCATTGAGAAATTTGAGTAACAATGCCATACATACGCATCCATACATAAATACTCAGATACAAGCATACTTGGTGACATGAATATACATACAAATACGATTTACCAAAGTTATCAAATACACGGTATTAGCAAAAATATTACAAACACGCCAGTGCTGGTCTCCACTGCGCAGCGCCAAGTTTTTTTTAGCTGGGAGTACTATGTCTTGTGCAAGGACATACCCCCAGTGCAACCCATCTAAACGCTGTGTCAATGACATTTTTGTCACCCACTAACCATCCAGCCAATGGAATCAAATGGACGATGACACTGCTGCCAGTGAGCACATAGTATAAAGACTGACACACGTGTACTATCATGTTGTCTACAGTCTCTATAGTCGCCACTAATATATTGTCGACAGTTTTGCATTCGCTGCTTCCTGGGAATGTATCTGCTGAACAGGTTCTCTCCAGCCTTACTTTACCTAATCTCTCTCCTCTACTCTAGCTCATGGCTTTGGACAGCGTGTTACCATTGCGGTCACCAGGACCAGTCTTACGTAAATCTGTTGCCTGGTCTTTCCCTGCTCTGTTCCCAAACAGCATACTAACATTGTCTCCCTTGTTTCGATCCTATCGCAATCTCACTCTTTTACACTGGCCAGTATAATAAACATTTGGCACCTTCTCATTTGCTCTGACGGCAAATTTTTATTTTACTCCAGTTACACCGTAACAACAATACTTTTTCATTGACTGACATCGTTATCGTTACCATCAAATACATAACGTGTTCTGGCTCAATGAAATGGCGAGTGACTAGCCCCCTCACATTAACGCACTCTGGCGATCAAGCAGGCCTCTTGCCCAAATAACCCTCTACGATAGCTGACCTTAACGAAACTTTTCAGACAGGTCAAGTCGAGGTGAAAAAAAATTCATTCATGGTAATTAAGAACACATGTTTTCCAATAATATGTTGCATCTAAATGAAAATATTATGATTTACTTCATGGTCTTTCTTTAATAGCAATACAGTTGTACAGTTGACATGCAGCTTTCGATAACATAAAAGTTACATAATATAATCGATATAACTTTGTTCTCATTTTAATGTTAAAGTGTGTGTGTCCATCAGTATTTTTTTTCTGTAAGCTTTTAATTTAATAGTCCACAACTTTGTCTGACTATTCTGTAACTGCACTTTATCGACCTAACGCATCATTGACTCTGTTGGCAGGAGGACGAAGATTTGCCGGATGCCCCATTTACTCGTCTCTTCAAGATGAATATCAATGAACTTCACTTCATCATAATTGGGTGTTTATCTAGTGGGATAGTTGGTGCAATACAGCCTGCCTTCGGTCTTATCTTCGGTGAGCTGGTCGAAGTAAGTTACTTGCACTGACAAAGACGTAAAAGACCTTACTGTTCGTGTAAAAACAGAGGAAGCCCAGAAATACGATCAGTTCATGAGTTTCAAGTGAAAAAAATAGTTGAATGAAGAGATACTCCAGTTTTACAAACAATATGTCAGGCTAGCAGATACAGTAGCAATAAAAATTATTACATGGGTTATAGTCAATGCTATGGTTACAGTGGGATACCATGATTTATCTTTCTTGCGAATTTTTAAACTGTATTTACTGACAGCGTGACAATGAATTGAACTGCTGGTTTTTTTTGGGGGGGGGGAACGCCACACATTAACATACCCATTTTTAAAGAAAATAAGAATACGTACATTTATTATGGGATGATAGTACAACAAACAGTTTAAAAGTATAAAATAGTGTCTTCATAATAATGAATATAATTGAAACTGAAACAGTGGACTTCATCTGTACCCTACACCATTTCACTCTCTTCTCTGAGAGCTCCCCCTCTCCCTCCTTTCCCCAACTCATCGTCCATTTACAACATAACTACGGGACATTATAAGGCAAGTATGTATATTTTTTCAAAGAAAAAAATACATACGCGCACACACACACACACACACACACACACACACACACACACACACACTTATTTATGTCTTTTAAAATAACTGTCTGTCATGTGGACGAACATGTCCAATCATCCATCGTTCCATCCATCGATCTATCAATCCATCCATCTATTCATGTATGTATGTATGTATGTATGTATGTATGTATGTATGTATGTATGTATGTATG